GATAATAACTGCACAAAGTGAAAACGAGTTACTTGTGAAACTCCCATTAATTATATAAAATGTATACAAAATCATTTTAGAAAATTAGATTATTTGAAACAAATTTTCAAAAAATTAATAAAATTTCATTTTGAGAAATTTTAAAAAGGTCGAATTTTTTTAACCATTTTTTCCATTCCCCCCCCCCCCCCCGGTCGACGTCTGCAATTTTTACGATTCCTCCCCCCCCCCGGTCGACGTCGGAGCATTTCCGACACCCTTCACTTTTGGGGGTCAAAATCAGCTGGGACACCCTTCACTTTCGAAGGACCCCGATCACCCCATCGCACCTATGATCGCGAAACATCATACTTAGTGTTTTTCATCGTCAGAAAAACGAACAAAATGTTCCCGCAACTACGCCGTAGGTTCTCTTTTTTATTGCAGTTCAACACACGACAAAGTCGATTTCTCAATGACTGCCATTTTGGAACAGAGGGTATTTCACAATATTAAGTTTGCGTGATATTTTTGTGGCTATTAGTGGGTTCTATGGTCTGAAATGTTTTTCTTACAAAAAGCATTCTAAGTTGTGTATACAGACTTTATCGCAAAAAGTTTTATCGCAAACTAGCAGAATCAAAAATTTCAAAAGGCATACGACCCACCGGTGGAACGCATTGTCCGTTGTTTCTCCAAACAGCCAGACAATCGATATTACTGTGGGTTACCGCAAGGAAAAATTAGAATTGCAGAACAAGTATATTTTTTAGGGACACGGGGCAAAGTTCAACGCAGCAGCCGCGGTAAACGCGCCGCATCGGACGTTTGTGCTTGGGCTGGACATATAGCCGAATGTGAACTGGAAGTGCATGCTTTCAAAGAATTCAAGTGAGCGGTCAGATAAGGCAGCGTTGTGAGTTTATGTGTCTCACTGCTGTGCCAGCGCCGCGTAGGGACCCACACGGACGCACTATTGATCGATTACGCCTTGGCACGGCGCTGGCACACTGCGGGCACGGGCTCTGCGCATGCAGCAAATCGATTAATTTAATCCGTTTTAGACTAAGTTCAACCAAAGAAGTGGAAGACGCTATGGTACTCACGCCAGAACAGCCATTATGGTAACTCATTTTCTGATCTTTCAATTTCCTTTGTTCGTTTCAAAACCGAATACTCGATCTGCTGCCCAATCTCGTTCCCTTTTTATAAACTAAGTTTTCGAATATTCAGGGAACCCCGTCATGAGCTCGTGGTATGCATGGCACCGATGTATATCTACACCGATTGGGAGATCCTCTCCTTGTTGGTATCGAAACATGGCTTGCACTCGGAGCCACAAAAATTATTGTTGCGGCTCGGTGGGCTCAGCACCCCCTTGCCTCGCTCGACTGCCTGCACAACCCTGCACCCACTGCCTACAAACCTAGCGCCGGTTAGCCATTCCGGCGCGTCCAACGACTGCCCCGCTAGTGGCATTAATACATAGCACGAAACGCGCGATTAGGTTACTAACATTTATCTGAATAACAACAGACCATATTACGAAATAGACTAAACTACTAAAGCGCCTAAACTAAAGGAAAATGACAAACGGGACGAGTCCGCCTCGTCCCAAGCCGCCGATGAACATCAACCTAATTCCAACACATGATGTCAGGGGAATCACCTGGGTCGACCGCCTACTCTCGCCTCCGCGTAGGAAAGTTGCGATCCTCTCCACTCCCGGCACTAACTTTTCCACAAAGGCTCTAATTCCTCGCGCGTTAGCGCGGTACAATCCAAAAGCTACAACAATCACTTGCTCGCAAGATTTTCATCCACGGGAGCTTGCCGGGTTAGCTGCCAACACAATCAATAAGGTGAACGTGAGAAATCAGAAATTGATTTGAAAACGAGGTCGGAAAGCAGAGAGGCATATGCCGCCAACTGCGCGGCCTTATATACCCCTCGACCTGGCAGCGCGCCCAAGCGGGAGAGGTCCGGGCGCGAGTTTAAAAAGCGCGCCCGATTCGGCGGCATGCAGTGCTCCCGGCACCTGAATCGAGGAGAGGCTTGCATCGCGCGAGCCGCGACACTCCCCCCCGAGACAGTGGCTTGGACGTTCGAATGGTGGTCACGTGATAGCACTGACGACCACAGGGGATGCATCCTACGTTAGGTTTTAGAAGGTAGACCGGTAAAAGAACAAATTCTATCGACGGCATAGTAGAGCGCGTAAGAGATGACCTGGGAGAAAACCCGTCCCATAGGGTAACATACATACGCAATAAAGCACACAACAAATACATGGAGTAACTGAGATTCTGATTGGTTAAACGGTTAAGTGCGGTTAAATGCGGCTAAATGCGGTTAAATGACGTGATTAAATATGATAACTATATTCTACAAAGGAGAGTAACTGGATAACTGAGGTGGCTAAATGTGAGGTGGCTTAAATGTGAAAACTAACACTACGAAGGAGAATAACTGCTCAACTGAAGTGATTAAATGAAACTAACTATGAACTAAAATGATTGTGTGAAGCTAAGTGTGCAACTAGACGTGATTAAATATGAAGTGTTTAAATGCGATGTGGGTAACTATGAAGACCATGTGCATGTGTGAACGACGAGCCATGTGCGACCATACAACCACAACACCATCTCCAACAACCACGACCACAAGCAACAACAACCATGTGCGAGACTACGCAGGACCACACTATACCATTCTACCAGATGTCACTAAAGCAGAAAAGGTTTATGAGGTTAAAGAGGTCATAAAGGTAGAAACACACTAACCGTTTTCCACCGTTCCACTCACTACCGTCACACACGGGCTCGCCCTCTACACTATTCGCGCGCGCGGCGGGGAGGCTGCGATGTTTCAGCGCGCGGCAAAGCAAAACTCCCAGATGGTATTGGGGGATGGGTATTTGCGTCCAGCCAAGCATAAAATTCTTCGTGCGTTGGGAACCAATCCGCGTCACGCACAATTTGGGTGTTCTTCATACAAAAGGCGCGATGGTGACGTTCTCCTCCGCAGTTCCAACAATAGTATCGCTTCTTGCATTTTCCGTGATGCTTCTTGAGACATACCGAACAAAATCCTTTCTCCAGCGCAACTTCAATCCTCTTAGACATGGATGTTACCACACTGCATTCGGCGCTGAAGTGTCCATAACCTTCACAAAAAACACATGACGGTAAAAGTCCACGCCGTCCAGTAAATGCCGAACTAGGTCCGGCCGCCTCGAGTTGCTGAGAGGACTCTAGTCCGCCCTCCCGCGCGACAGAATTAACCTGAGGCGAAAGGACTGGTGGAATGGACTGGTTCCTCTCAAGCTCTGTGACTGGCGTTGACATACGCGTCAATGGTATAATTACTGGACTCGAGTGACTCTCAGATGGCAAAGGTGTTGGAGACTGCGGTGCTTGAGTGCTTCGGATGGCGTCTTCTGTCTGCACTGGCTGGGTTGGCGATAACGCGCTGATGTTAGGCGCGACTTGAGCTGATCATCATGAAATTCTACTCGTATAAATCGCTCCTTTGGTTGTTGCGCGAATGGATCTTCACTATGCGCAATTTCCAAATAGTCTTCGGTAAGCGGACCATGGAGTTGTTCCTCGTAGTTTTCTTGCCACCATCTAAGTACCTGGATGTAGGTGGTCGGTACGAAGGGGATCTGAACTGGTGGGATTGCGAGCTGCGTATACTGCTTGTCGATCTTGGTGACTTTCTGCCGTAGATGCGTCATGACGAATTCCATCTGATAGTACTCAAGCGTGCGCGTAAGACGGGTAGCATGCGCAACTGCGGCTGACGCGGCCATAAGCTTTTCCATGATTACGCTTTCGCTAATCTGGTAACCAACTAGCGCGTCAAGAAACGATTGCGAGCGCGTGAAAAAGTGCGATAGTAAAGCCTCACTGATGATGTCGCGGTGTACCGTGATGCTTGTGATAACGTGCTGAATTACATGAATGTACGCCATGTACCTCGCGTATGATATACTAGCTTTGTCCGGGCGCAGCAGCAAGGTCTGGGTATTGAGGAAGATGTTATTGGCGCAATCCAACACGGCTGCAAGCTTACGCATATGAAAGACGATACGCGCGATGTGGCGCTGTTGCTCAGGTGTTAGGAGCGTAGTATCTGCGGCTTGCGGCTCTGGCTGCGCGCGACCAGACGTAGTGATAAACGCGAAAACTCTGCGTAGCTGCGCAGCGGTAAGTTCCTCTACCGTGTGTGGCAATACTTCAACGATATCTTGCAAGGCAGGGATGACATGCGCATGCGCGGCCGGCGCTGGGTTGGGCTGCAAGGGTCTTAAGTTAGGATCGCTGGATACGCGGGATTGCAAATCGCGCTGCTTCTTGCAAATGTCGTCCAGGATCTCTCTCAGCTCCAAACTGTCTTCGCAATGCGCTAGTAGACGTCGGGCTTCGAAGATGATCAACTGCGCAACTGATTCGCTAGAGGATGTTGCAGTGCCTGCGCTAGAGGTAGACGCAAGTGGCGAGCAGCTACGCGGTTGTGCGCTAGAGCTTGCCGTGCGCGACAGCAACGAGGATGGCGAATGCTTCATGATGGCGATACGGTAGAAGTACGTATGGCGCAGCTGGAAAAACGCGCTAATGATTTAAAATATGAGTAGCAATAACGAAAAGTGAGGGCTCAATGCAAGAAAGAAGAGTTTGAGAGACAAAAAATTGATAGAAATTTTGGTGTAAAAGTTGATAGAATGTTTTGGTGCCAAAAGAATGTGCGCGTTATGTGAGCGAATTGCATCTTGCGACTAGGTTGACAATCGCGCGCTGCCTGACGACGATTCGTGCCGGGACCCAGCGCAGTCTAAAGATGGACTTAGACAAAGGAAAATAATCTCATCGCTCATCAATGCGCGCCTGTAGCGCTCATGTGTAGAGAAAAGAGTATACAATAATTAAGAAAGAAAGAGGAAAAGGATCGAAAGAAAGGAAATCAAGGTAAATCAATATGTGTACCTGCTTTACGGCTGTGCTCACTCCTTAGATGTTCTAGAAGGGGCATCCTTTACTGCAAAGTGCTCGTGATCTCTCAGGGATGGTATCGTCATCTGCCACTATCTCCAGAGGTACCAGATGGTTGATTGAGCGTTTCAGTATCTTCTTTTTGGCTGTCCGGATCTTGGCTGATCTTACGTTGCCATCAGATGAAGCGTTGAGTTCCAGAATGAGTGCTAATGGCCAAGTTGATCGATGCGCGTCCTGTCTGACGAGCACTACTTCTCCTACTCGGGGTGGTCCTGCTAGACTGACCGTTCGAGCGTACGATCTGTCTCTGCGCTAAGGCATCAAGATAGTCACTGTGCCAAAGCTGCCAAAAATGATCTAGATCTTCTTGCAGAGACTTGTAGCGCGTACGGAGTGCTCGATAGCTCTCGTTCGTCGCATTAGCGATCTTCTGGGGCATGCTGCCGGTCAACCGTGCCACTTGGAAATCCGCGGTGATCAAGTCAATAGGTCTTATGGCCACATTCGTATCCGGATCGGATGAGTTCACCGGAAAGAGAGGTCTGGTGTTGAGAATTGCCTCGATCTCGATGATGAGAGTTTCCAGTAACCAAATGTCCAGTATTTGATTCCGCACCGTCTTCTTCAGCGCGTTCTTAGCCGATCCGACTAATCGTTCATAAAATCCTCCTTTCCATGGCGAGTACGGAGTGTGAATGTCCATTTGATGTTATGACTGGCACAAAATTGGTTCATTTCACTGTCGTCCTTCGCGGCTGTCAACTCATTTTTGATAATTTCTTGTCCCAGCTTAAAGGTAGGCGCGTTGTCGCACGTTACTGTGTCCGGTTTCCCTCGTCGTGCCATGAATCTCCTGAAAGCTAGTATAAACTGTAAAGTAGAATTATCTCTTACCACTTCTAGATGGATTGCGCGCGTTGACATGCACGTAAAAAGACAAATCCACAGTTTTTGGCGCTCAGATGACTGCAAGCGAACAAGAATGGGTCCAAAGTAGTCAAGGCCGATATGCTGGAATGGGCGACTCCTAGTTACCCTCTGTGATGGAAGGTCCGGCGCGTACGGATACTTGTATGGACGGGCTTGATACCTTCTACAAATCACACACCTGGAAATAACGGACTTTACCAAACGTTTTAGCTTAGGTATGAAGAAGCTTTGGCGCAAGGTGGTTATCATATGGGACGGTCCAGCGTGAAATTGGCAATGATGGTACATGATCAACATATAACAGAGAGGATGATCCGACAATATGAGGATGGGGTTAGTAGAATTGTCGGTCTGCGCGTTAGACATGCGCCTATCCACTCTGATGTTACCGTCTTTGTCGCACGTCGTGCGAAACTTCTTCATAGACGGACTGTCCAACTGTTGCTGGCCTTCTCTGTAGTGCTCACGTATGAGCAGCGATTCAGCTGTCGTAAAGTCGTCTGGTGTTACTACGGGTGTTATATCCATCGTGCCTAAAATTGATTGCACGTCCTGATGTTCGCGATGGCAGCGCGTCTCGACTCGGTGACGCACTCTAGCCAAAAACTTAAGGACGTATGCGGTGACGCGGATCAGCTTAATGTACGAGTTGGTGCGCGTAAAAGGCACGAAGGATACATAAGGTTCGGAGATGGTATTTGTCGAGGTTGTGACCGCCTTAAGCTCTTCTGCTTCTGCACCTGGTAGCGAACTGACTGATGGTTCAAGACTCTTCCAGGGCCACTGTGAAGAAGGGGTCGCGAAGAAGCTTGGGCCTGTCCACCATAGATGGTCTTGGAGCTCTGTGGCTGTTAGTCCACGGGTGGCACAGTCCGCCGGGTTGTTGTCCGTGTTCAGGTAGTAAAATCCGGTGGCGATGTTGTCCGCTCTCAACTCATCGAGCACGCGACGGATGATCTAACGCGGTTTGCAACGTAGATCTTGAGCGGCTTGCGCGACTGAATCCAGTACAAAACTATCTGGGAGTCGGTAAGAAATTTGACTGATGAAAGCTGACTTTACACTGGCTTATAAGGATCTTCGCGGTCTTGGCTGCCATGTGACAAGCTAAGAGTTCCATGCGCGGGATGGTGATCGCGCCTGGAGGAGCTAACTTCGCTTTTGCGAAGAGCAGTGTTGGTCTTGGACTATCGTTCGCGTGACGCGTCAAGATGTAAACAGCGGTAGCATAGACTCGCTTAGACGCGTCCGAACAGAGGACCAAATCGTAAGCATTGTCACAAGTAACTCCATGGTGGCGCGGAACCTGTGAGTGAAAGTCGCTTATCTCCTGAACGATGGTATTCCATTTCTCAATATCTGCCTCAGTAAGAGGGTCATCCCAGTCATAACCAAACTCCCACAAGTCTTGTATAAACATCTTAGGTCTTATTAGCAGCGGTGTTAATAGTCCTAAAGGGTCAAACGTAGATGCATAAACTCTCAATGCAGTCCTCTTGCTCGTCACAGGTTGACGCGCGATGTTAATAGGCACGTGAAGTACGTCGAGCTTAGGATTTCATTTGATCCCTAGGAGTTTAGCGAATGGTCCGTATATCTTCATACGATCGTGTTCAGGAATCGAGCGCACCGTACTCTCACTGTTCGACATGAACTCACGAAGGTTCATGGACATTCGCGCGAAGATTTTCTTGCATTGCTTACACTTTTCCAAGCATTCATGGTTGGAATCCGCTCCGACAATGAGATTGTCTACGTAAGTGTTAGCAAGGATCTCTTCTTTAAGACGATTTGCCGGATCCTGTTCCAAAAAGTATCTGATGGACATGCTGAGTAGGAAAGGTGATGCATTAATACCAAACGGCAAGCGTGTGAAGCGTAGTATGCGAAGATTGTCCGTCGATGGTGGTTGTTGGACATCTTTCAGCCAGAGGAATCTTGTGGAATCCCTTTGATCCTGATGTAAATGGATCTGGTGGAACGCTTTTTCCACGTCGGCGATGATAAGGAAGCGATGGAATCTGCTTCGCATCAGAGTTCCTACTAAGTCTGGTAATAAGGAAGGTCCTTGGTATAAGCAGTCGTTGAGGCTTGGACAGCCTTTCTGATGACTCGACGCGTCAAAGACGATCCTTAGTCTGGTGGTAGAACTGTCTTGTTTATATACGGCTTGATGCGGAATATAATACGTATTCGAGCCTTGCGCGGCAACATCCGTGACATCCTCAATTATACCAATTCGCAATTGATCTCCAATTGTCCTGCAGTAGTCTTTCCAAGTTTCTGGTGTCGCGCGAAACTTCTCATATTGACTCTGCAATCGGCGAAAGGCTAGAGGTTTGTTATCCTCAAGAGGGGGATGCTCTGGCTTCCACGGAAACGATACATAGATACTGCCGTCTACAAAGGCGACCTTGCTATAAAACTGCCTGTTGACTTCGGCATCGTCCACATCTTCGCCTTCATCCATTCCGAGTGTATCGAGTCCAAAGAGACTACGTACATCGTTCGTTCTCTGGCTAGTCTTCGTCCGATGATGTGTGAGCGGTCGAGAGACTATTGGAGACAACTGGGTGTTGTATGCCGGACAGAACTGGTCCAAATCTCGTGTGTGACAGGATGAGTCCTGATGGAAGCCTCTCATTCCTGTGCAAATCAACAACACGCCAATAGTTGTCTATTTCACTGAGCACGTCGACATCCACTCTGTCTGCAGGATATGGTATTGTCGATGCGGTCGTTAGTTCGGGGGACCGTCGTAATCTTCTCGCGCGTCCATAGCACAAGCTGGATCGGATGTTCATATTGATCCCATAGCGTGAGAGTGACTTCTGACGATTCTTCCGTAAGTTCATGTCCTCCAAACGTCAGGGTCGTCACTGTCCTGGTATTCCTGAATGTTAGGCCCAGATGTTTGGCCAACGCAGTGCAAATAAAGCTGTACTGCGAACCGCTATCCAAGAAAACTGTAAGCAGCTCGCTCGTCTGAGTCTTAAAATTCTTAGTTACAGCGCGGACTACCATTAGACGAGGCTCTTGAAGTGTGGATCAATCATGACAAAGAGACGTACAGGAAGATGGCGAATGCGCGCCTGAAGCTCGTGACTGATCGTCAGATGACTCTGCTTGCGTATCCATGGTAGTACGAGATGCGTCAAAGGTACAGTTGGTGCTGTGTACCGCGGATGTAGGACTGCGTGACCTATAGGATCGCGAAGTACGCCTAGACGGTGTTGGGGAAAACCTACTCCTAGATAGTGATGGAGATCTAGACTGGAAACCGCGCGATGATGCGCGTGGAGTACGAGATCTCATGCGAGATGACGAGCCGTAGGATTCCTCATAGAACTGTACGCGTCTGGGCGATCGAGATCTATGCGAGCCCTGATAGAAAGTCTGCCTAGACGTCGGAGTTGGCGATCGCGGCAAAAAGGAAACTTCGAGGCAAAGGGACCTATGGTGTATCCTATTGCAATACGGACAAAGAGGAGCGTCGCAATACATATAAGTATGACCAGGTTGTAAACACAATCAACAAAGCTTATTGCGACTGACATATAGTCTACGTTGTCTAGCATCGCAGTTTCTGCAACGATCTGACGGATGTCCAAAATTGTGGCAAACACACTGCGGGTCGGATGAATCGTAACGCGATCTACTGGGGCTATACGACGCACGCCTAGGGTAATATGGCGTTGGAGGTCTATCCTGTCTTCTGCGAGGGGACGGTGTGCGCGACAGTGAACGCCTTGCACGCGATGGTGTGCGATAGCGCGTGAACGCTTCACCTGTCCTATCCTCGCACGGGTATCTTCGAGGAGAAAGAGAGTGTTGACGAACAGCCGACTGGGAGTTGTAAGAGTGGTAATCCGAAGGGTCTGCATCCTCTATACTTTCTAATCTATCAATGATGGTGTCCAGCGTAGCAAGCAATTCATCAACCGTCCACATCGGATCTCCTTTGTTCTTGAATTCGCCAATCCTCTCACGTGTACGCCGGGGAAACTTGGCACGAATGATCTTGAGCGTGCCGATCGCGCTGGAGTCTTCCTTGAGATGTTGAAGCTGGGTCCATGTAGCTCTTATAGCACAGAGTGTCGCGCGTTGTGACAACGGCGAATCCGAGGCTGATGGTAACTGCAAGAGCTTGTCCCACAGCTTGTTGCGTAGGATCTCCGGACGACCATACGTGTTATTCAGGATACGTACTGCTTCATCGTAGTTCTCAGCCGTCGATTGAAAGCCGGCGATGATGTTCGCAGGAGGTCCTCGTAAATGGGACTTCAAATAAATGAACTTGACTGGCACAGGTACACTGGTGTTATTGTGCACGGCCGTCGAAAAAAGGTCCCAAAACTCGTAAAACCTCGATATCGCCATGAAACGTAGGAATCTCGAAGCTCGGTAGTTTCAACGATTGCTCCACGGACGATTAGAAGTAGGGTTCGGGAGAGCAGACGATGCTGCGAACGGATTCGGCTGGGGGCAAGAAGGAGTCACGAAGGGATTGCCAAAAGTTGAGGGGTTATGGGGGGAGACACCGAATCCTTGGGTGGCGCTCGACGCGCGCGGTGGTAGGGTATCAGCTGGCGCGATATCAGGTTCTGATGGGCGATCCTGATTCTTAGACGAAGAGTGGCTCGCAATTTCCTCTCTCACGTCCTGCGCAGGCTGATCGGTCGGGATGGGGTCTTGGGTAGGATGAGGAGAAAGGTTAACAGATGAAGAAGAAGAAGGAACAACCGGAACACGCATAGAATACAAAACTTCCGAGCTCGGCAAGAGTTTGATCGCAATATCAAGACGTGCATGGAGAGTGTCAGCTTCCTCCAGGAGTTGATCCAGTTCACCAGCGTCCCAATGATCCTGAATCTGCTGAAGGAAGGGAAACTCGCCCTGCTCGTCAGGATTTTGACGAGCAAACTCTTCGGCTTTCTCTCTCTGGGCGCGTAGATGTGCAATAGCACGTTCAATGAGAGTAAATTTCAAAAAAAAAGTGAACTCTTATGGCTCAAAATAAAGTGTGGATCCTTACTTGCCTCCATAGCAGGATCCAGCGGTTGAAGGGTGGCCTCATCGGCTTCCGAGATCTTCTCACGAAGTGCTTTGGCGAGTTTGGTGATTCGGGCTTTATAGCTTCCGAGAAGCGACATTACCTGAAAGAAAAAAGAAAGAAGAACAGTCTAGTATGTAAAAAACAAACAAACGATAAATATGACATGAGTAATATGTGATGTGAGTAACCTAGCCCAACCTAAAACTAAAAGGGGGTAAACCACCATTGGGGCAACTTACTTACAGGCGCAAAGCAACAATTACGACAGGGTGTCACTAGAGACTGAAAGCGCTGATGGTGATTGCGCGAGTAACAAGATGAAGAAATGGTGACCTGTCCGGAGGCCCTTCAGTAGTTATCCAGGGCTCCTATCGGCGAGTTGGAAAATTTTGGGCTCCTGAACCACCTTTCCAGAGGGCCGTGCCGTAATGATGATCTTCCCATACGCACGACGCCTCGCCTGTACTAGAGGGTGTGGGCATAGACTTGTTGGTCAGGTCGGGTCTGGTAGTGCCGACCCACAATATCGGATGCCAGAGTCCGTGAACTCTTGGCCAACAAGACTCACCAGATGAGTTGGTACCCTTAATGACTAAAAAAGGGGGGCCTTTACTGGGCGGCCTTAGTAGCTAGGTGCCCTCCACAATTAGGCCCCAAGCAGCTAAAACCTAAAGGAATGCCCGTTTACGAGGAACGAGAAGCAGAAATAGAAACTACGGGCCCAAATTAGACAAACAAGGTTACGAAATGTGAACTGTGAAGCGCGAAAAGAACTAAGGAATGTAGGAGTAGCGCGAAATTTTAGGGACCCTCTAGTACTCCCTCCGAAGACGCTCCCATGCTAGCGCCCCCAATACGCAAATCTCCGGTGTGGTTCAGGCTTCTAGATGGTGAAAAAACGGTGTCATAGAGCTCCCGTAACAGCTCACCGAAGCTGTTGCGTCCCCATACGGCTCCGATACAGCTCGTCCAGCTTCGGCCCAAGACTCGACAGATGCGCGCGCGTAACCACTAGGGTTCCCGTGGTCGAGCCCGCCGGGGATGACACCTGCACATTACCTGAAAAACTCTTCAGAAGCGCGAAGCACCAATCACTGTATCAAATACTGCATGCTGAGGTTTCAAGTTGGCAAGAGCTGCCACCATCCTGCTGCCTATCCACCTCACGTTCATGACATACTCATGGCTACCATTCCCGCATTCTGCCACTGTTCGTCCGAGTGTCTTCTGGTGTCCTTGTTGTTCGATCTTCTTATTGTGCTGAGCGTGGTAGACTTAGGTCCGTTACGCACGCATGGCAGATGGGATGGCGCGTTCCCATAACGGCGTCCAGATATTGTCCAGTTCGTCCTCGATCTGCGCGTCCATTCCATACGCGGACGGAATCCTCCATCGTCCATGCGCTCGGCGTCGATGCACCATGTTGCGGCTCGGTGGGCTCAGCACCCCCTTACCTCGCTCGACTGCCTGCACAACCCTGCACCCACTGCCTACAAACCTAGCGCCGGTTGGCCATTCCGGCGCGTCCAACGACTGCCCCGCTAGTGGCATTAATACATAGCACGAAACGCGCGATTAGGTTACTAACATTTATCTGAATAACAACAGACCATATTACGAAATAGACTAAACTACTAAAGCGCCTAAACTAAAGGAAAATGACAAACGGGACGAGTCCGCCTCGTCCCAAGCCGCCGATGAACATCAACCTAATTCCAACACATGATGTCAGGGGAATCACCTGGGTCGACCGCCTACTCTCGCCTCCGCGTAGAAAGTTGCGACCCTCTCCACTCCCGGCACTAACTTTTCCACAAAGGCTCTAAACTTTCCTCGCGCGTTAGCGCGGTACAATCCAAAAGCTACAACAATCACTTGCTCGCAAGATTTTCATCCACGGGAGCTTGCCGGGTTAGCTGCCAACACAATCAATAAGGTGAACGTGAGAAATCAGAAATTAATTTGAAAACGAGGTCGGAAATCAGAGAGGCATATGCCGCCAACTGCGCGGCCTTATATACCCCTCGACCTGGCAGCGCGCCCAAGCGGGAGAGGTCCGGGCGCGAGTTAAAAAGCGCGCCCGATTCGGCGGCATGCAGTGCTCCCGGCACCTGAATCGAGGAGAGGCTTGCATCGCGCGAGCCGCGACAATTATCGTACCCATACAGTCAGCTTCGACTACGACATATAAAATTCTGAAGGAGTACGAAAAAAGAGGTTCAGCACATTTTCCGCCTTGTCTAATGACAGCAAGAGTTAATTATTTATTTATTTATTTATTTAGTACGCCCGAAGGCGTGCTTCGTACATCCCCAACAATTATCAAAACAACCTGTGTAAGCTAGACAAAACACAAAAAAAAGGAAGGAAATAACAACATCGTGGTACCGTAATAATGAATCGGTCATCCGCATCTAACGCGATTTACTTTGCACTCAGTGGAAGGAGGAGCATTCAAAGCTCAGAGACGCAAACAAAGGCAAGAAAGAATGTTAAAAATCAAAAATACTGATCAACCCTCTCCCACCCCCTTAAGACAACCACCTGAAGCCCTGGGTACGGACTGTATGGTTTTATTAATCTCTTTGGAACGGTAAGGGCTCCATACAGGACCACAGTATTCAAGTAATGGGAGAACGAACATTTTGAAAAGCTTGATCCAAAGAAAAATATCCGAGCTCATCACATTTCGAAAAAGACAATGCAAAACTCTCAAACCCTTGGTTGTCACTGCATCTACATGGTTCTCAAAATTCAAGCCCTTGCCGACTAGAACGCCAAAATCACGCACTTCCCTGCCCGTTAACATGTTTCCTAGCTCAACGTTACAAACGTTCAACGTAAGAGGTCCAATAGGGAGGTGCTGACTTTTGCGAAAATTGAGTTTGAGATTCCAGAAATTGGTCCAGTGCAACATGCGTGACAGATTCAGTCAACGCCAGCTGAACTGCCTCTTTTTCTGTTTCAGTATAAACCGCGGTGACTTTGATGTCATCAGCGTATGCATGGACAAAAATTCTCGTATCCGTTTTTAGGAACGCAGGTAAATCATACGTATAAATGAGAAAAAGTATGGGCGACAGTATCCCTCCCTGCGGAACGCCCGATAAGCATTCCCTAGGGTAAGAAAAGTCTTGAGAGAAGCGCACTATCATCTTTCTGTCCGTGAGATAAGAACAGAACCAATCTAGAAGATTGCCTTCTATGCCTGTACTCCGCAATTCACCTAAAAGGCACCCGTGGCAAACAGTGTCAAAAGCTTTACTGAGGTCAAAATAAACTACATCCACACCTTTCCCTTCACCTAGTGCCTTATTCCAAAGATGCAAGCAATCTATCAACTGTGAGCAGGTGGAGGATCCTGCTAAGAAACCGTGCTGTTCTATGGGAATATGGTTCAAGTGATCTAACCATTTCGAGCAGATGTTTCTTAATGATCCTCTCAAGAACTTTTAGTGATGCAGGGAGGATACTGATTGGGCGGTAATTGGTGATAGTGGTAGACTCTTTTCCTTTTGGGATCGATGTCACCACTGCAGCTTTCCAATTTTTAGGTACCTCCGCTGTCATAAGAGAAATGTTGAAATTGTGACTAAGGGGAACGGAGAGATGGGTGGGAAACATTTTGTAAAAAAGCTGCGGTATGCCGTCAGAAGTAATTCACTGTGACGTTTTCAGGGTTTTGATTTGTTTAGCAACCATTTCGGGAGTGATAATAGGCAACCTCAGGCTTTCATCAGTCACTTTCGCCAGGTTACTTCTGCATTCCATATGGGAAGTAAAAGTACTGCGAAAGAAACCAGCAAAAGCCTCCGCTTTTTCAAAATCTGTACTGCAAAAAGATCCATCCTCACATATGAGCACTGGGTGAGAGACTGACCGCTTTGTCCTGTCCTTGATATAAGAAATGATCCCCTTCATGTATTTAGTCTTGGCGAGCAATCTGGTTTTGTATGACATAAACTTCTTCAAATGGTGCTCAAGGTTCTGACTGACAGTTTTAAAAGTTACGCAGTGCAAAGGGTCACGAGATTGTTCAAATATTCTTTGCCATTGTTCAAAAAGATTTCGAATGTGGTCAGGATACTTTCCCAACCCCTGCCTGCGAGTTTTCCGTGGTACATATTGACCAATGATTCCATGCATGATAGGAAGAAAACGGGTGTAGGCATCATCAATTATAGGCCTGGTAATTATCCGCACATGGCCAAAATGGCCTATCCTCTCTGATACAAATCCAAATGGGCTGGTTCAGAGTAGAGGTAAAAAAATATCCGGTTAGAAAATTGTCAAAGCTTTTATCGGAAAATTTTTAGGCATAGAAGAATCGCATGTGAATTGTCTGTCTTCGCAAAACCGTTTGCAAATATGATAGCATTCACAGATGTGGCGATATGCTTCTACCAAGCAATCCATTGAATATAAGACCTAATATTAATGTGGACATTCTCAAGGTTTGCCTAATTTGTTTTCAAAAACTCGTGAATCCACGTGAAAATCAATGGTTCACCGAGACATTCACAATGATTGTTACAAAAATTTTTTCCGATACTTGCTGCATATGGCTTGTGAGAGAAAATTCGCAGGCGCCCTCAGCCCGACGCGCAATGTCGCCAATACCGCACAATGACGCCAATGTCGCCAATGTCGGGGGTTGTCGCTAAGGTCGCGCAATGTCGCAAATGTCGCGATTGTTGCCAATCCGCGGAAATATTGCACGTTCTGTGAGCACTATCTCGAAGATTATGGTAGTAGTAAAGCAGTTGGTTGCAACGACCTGAGCATAAAGCCTTATTCCAATCTAACTTCTGAATTTCACTTTCGGGGTTTTTTTCAGTGTAAAACAACTGTTATATTTGCTGCAGATACGGTCTGCTGTGAGAAACTATGAGACGGTATAAATCTTATAGCAGGTAGTGTAAAGATGTTTTATCTGTACGTGGACTAAAATCTGGCATTTAAGTATTCCAACCTCTTCATTGCTCACCTGCTTGTTTGTAAGCTTTGATTTAATTGAATTGGCACCTGGAAGCCGGGCTTTGTGACCTGATTGAAGCCGCTCGCGCCCGCGACGCAGTCTGCGTCTCTCCCGCGCGCATGCTCTCTGATCATTACCTAGCCTTGACTTGGTCACGAAGCCCCGCCTTTCAGCCGCGAAGCCAGTTAAATGAAAGGGTATGTCTGCAAAATCCGCGAAATTTGTTTCCGGCCACTTACGACGTTTTTGAGCTGTTTGCGCATACACTCTGCTTTTGTATGAGACCAAATTTTTCCAAGAGATGTCATACCTAATTTGAATGACATGGAATCTAAAGAAAAAAGTCTATGCACTGTTTGCAGAGCATTTCCAAGCGGGATCACTGCTTTTCGAGCACCGCGATGTACAACTTCAGCTAAGGGTGAGCACGATTATTATTATTTTACTGTTTCCAAACATGTTATTTTCTCCAGGAAACACCAGCAACCCTTGCGAACTTCAACTTCAATTTCCTTATGGACTCCAAGCAGAAAATGAATTGTAATGTCTGGAGAATGAAAACACGAGTCGTAGTGAATGCAAGTAAGTCAACTGTGCTCAGTTACCCTTTGATCTTGGAGGCTGGAGGGCGGGGCTTCGTGACCTAATTGCGGCTAGTTAATGATCAGAGAGAACGCGCGCAACAGAGACGCAGACTGCGTCGCGGGCGCGCGCGGCCATTTTTAGGTCGCAAGGCCCGCCTCTCAGCCGCCAAACCAGTGGCCGTATTCATCAACGAAAACCCAGTAGGTTCCGGAACCCAGTTTAATGCTTTTGATGAATATCGATGTAGAATCGATATTCATCAAAACCACTAAATGGGTTTCGGAACCCACTGGGTTGTTCGTTGATGAATACGGCCACAGTTGAATCAAAGATTACGCAAACACACCTTATAAATTCAGGCCGAGTCGACTCCGTGAATATGCATGAGACAGGCTTACACCGCTTCTCTTATGTACAGACACGAGTACCGTGTAGGCAGGTAAGTTCCTCCCAGTTACTATAGTTAAAATCACTATGCAGAATTTCAGGCACATTTCTATCATTTGAGGCATAACCATCTATTGTACAGAATTCTGTAGCAATCAATATGGCCACTCTGGTTTCTAATTTGAACAGGTAACCGAAGGTCTAATATAAAATGTCACCTACACCAATATTCACCGTATTCCGCAGGACAGCAAAGTTTGCAGCAGTTCCGCAGCATTTTTTTTACTTGCATAACTGGAAACTTCAAACTGGGAACTTTCGCAGTATTTTCACCTCAGACTAGTTGAAAACGGGATCCTCCGAAGAACTTTTTGCAAAGTGCTGCGGAACTTCCGAAAATTGTCAGAGGTTTCGCAGCACTTTGACATGCCAGTATTCCGCAAGGTTTTAATGTGCGCCTCGTATGATGTTGCCTCGCCAACAACTAGACTGTATTATCGAACATGTTAGTTGTAGTTTAGAGGATAGTAGTTGAGTCTTACATTCAATAGAGTAGAATTCAAATCCCGCTCAGGTTCTCTTTTGCTGTTGTGGTTCGCATTCTTCGGAACTTCCGCGTCACCTCATTTGAACTTCCACAGATGAGCCAGCGGAACTTTCCCAAACGTTCTGCGGGAGTTCCGGTCAGTCTGAGTAAAGCAAACCTAATCAATGCAAAGTCACTTAGTTTGTATGGTCAGAAATGGAATGACTGGGGACTATGATAAACAAACTAGCGATCGCAAAATTTCGGTAGAAAACTTACTGAAGTCAAATTTGACATGCCAAAAATCTAACTAAGAATGATAAGCAAAGAAATGGAATCAAATAACAAAATGCTGCACATTTCTGTTAGCAGAAAAGAACTTTTATCACCAAGATTTCCGAACATTTTAAATTTTGAAATTGAACATAGGTTTCTATAACAATTCCTAGAGTTTACTGTGTATCGGATTTGCATGAGATTGAGTTTACTTCTACTAGAACTAACCAGAAAAATACTTAACTTAATCTTTAAGACTTCATGACTGCCCTGTCTACTGCCTTTATAACCCGCAAAATTCTGGTAAAGCAGACGAAATAGATTTTACCAAGTTCGATTTCAGGCAATGGTACATGAGGCTGAATCTTTTGCGGATTTCCGAGACGAGCCGCTTAACAAATCTAGTACTTAGTCATTCGATGTAAGTCGCATTTACTTTCTTCCCCTCCACCTCCAACCTCTTATAAATTTTGTAAAAATCTCAAAGGGTATGCACGGATAAAGCAACAATGAATAGCAATATTTAGTAGCAGAGACATTCTTGTGACATATGTCATTAGCGGTGTAGACTCCTCGACGGGTGTTTGCCTCGGAATGTGATGTAATACAGTAAAGTAAGCAAAATATTGGTGGTTCAGTGGTTTATCATTATGTAACCGAGAGTGTGAGATTGTGACCTTAGGTGGTCAACGTGTGATTAAGAGTGAGGCGGACCTTCCATGTGGACGCATGGCAGACATGGCAACCCCACTCGACTCTGACGTCATATGGCACGGGTATCAGGAGCCATCGATTGGTCGATGATGATATGTGTACTCGTACTAAAAGCAAAACAGTATCACAAGTTTCCAAATTTGGAGTTTCACACGAAGCAAAGGCGATAAAGGGAGCATATAAGCTCATTGTAAGCATGGCTTGAGTTTATACAAAGCGGAAAGGACGGTCAAAAACCTGTTATTTTTTGAAATCTCGAGAGGGTTGTCAAATTCCATACTGCTTATTTTTGAAAAAAACTGCAAGTGCATCGAGAAAAGTTCGTATTCCAAGTTCCTGTGTAAGTTCAAGTTGCAAAACTTACTGTAATCGTGTGTGTGCGAACCGAATCTGTAATTGTTGGCTTGCATTTTGTTTTCTTATGCCATATGAGGTTTGGTGAAGCTCTTGATTGCGGCCTTGCGTTTCGACTTATCGTCGTCTACAGAGGCCGAAAGTGGTGCGAGATTTCAATCTTGCGTTGTAGCCCGCCAAATGCCTTATCGTCAAGCTAGTTTCGAACCCCCACTGATTTCACTAACAAGAGTCGCACAAAGTGGAAAACGCCAACTTGCTTTGCTTTACGTTGGAACACTGATGGTGTTGTGCAACCAGTCGTTTGGTGCCAGTAGTGACAGTAAGCCAATTAAGAAGCTTATGGGCCGGTGAATCACTACTAGTTTATAACTCACATGACAGTATATCTGGCAAGAAGTCATTCGTGATCGTTAAACATTCCTTTCTGTTGTCCGATGGATCTCTTTGTCAGATCCAGAATGTTTCGAGAGTTTTCCGCGCAGATGCGTCAGATGTTTCGCAAGCCAAAATCATACACTTAATATCATAGTCTGCGCCACCAAGATGTTCATGTTTATGCTTCCCGAGTGGTGAAGTCAGATTGCCACGTCGTTTATTATCTAAATGTTTTTCAAATCTAACATCAGTGGTATTACTGTCTCTTCAATGTAGGAACGCGCCGCATGTTGTACATTCTATCTTTCTCTTGATCGGCATGGCTACCAAAATAACATCGTTGCTCAATTGTGCTCGCTCAGTGCTTCGCCGTATGGCAGCACTTACTCAATCAGAGATGAAAGATGAATAGAGATGAATTTTGTTGTTGCATTAAAGCATCTAATGTCTAGTAACGAAAGTTGTGAGTTGTTCTTCTGGGTCAGAATTCAGAACAAGCTTTAAGGCAGTGGCTCGGCGAAACTGAACATCTCGAAAAATTGATATGTTAAGTTATGTTAGATTTTTTACACCCCAGATATGAACAATGCAAGCCGAGCACCCAGCCTGCTGCCCCCGCCAAGAAAACTGGGGTGTAGTACGATTCGCACGACCGTAATGCTTTCCACACAAGACTATCGCCGCACGTGAGCCACCCTGCGACGACTCTTGCCCGAGCAAAAAAGAGAGGAAATTTTGCGACATGCGCGACGTGTTAAAGGCAGCGTCCCACCAGACTGGGGCTACCTGACTCTCGTAATGATATAATAGTAGACCCCCTACCCAGGCGATGACTGAGGTTCGGAGGGAAAAAGGGGGTCTACCAAGCCTGAAATTTGCTCCGAAAGTGGGCCGAATCTTACGCTAGGGCAGTACGCCGCCCACTCGGCAATATCGATTTGCAGGGCCAGAGTGCGTATAGCGGACACATCATGAGCGCAGGGACCCGCAACGGCTCTGCGTCTCTACCTTGCATGCACCTCGCACTCGCCCGAGCCTACCGTAAGATTCGGCCCACTTTCGGAGCAAATTTCAGCTTGGTAGACCCCCTTTTTCGCTCCGAACTTCAGTCATCGCTTAGGTAGGGGGTCTACTATCACATCATTATGAGAGCCAGATACCAGTCTGGTGGGACACTGCCTTTAAGACAAGTCAAAATCAGGGCGAGGCGGACGAACCGCCCATGCGAAAAGACCGTCTTCCAGAAAATTTCTCCCAAACCGCGCGCAAACCATTTTTACATGCTCTTCAACAAGCTCGCGATTTTCCCAGCGTCGGAGGCGACATGCCGCAATGTTATCACGAGAACCCGCAAAGTTTTATCGTCTCTGCATCTCCAACCTTGGCGTAGCTGTTCCATTCGTCCACATCCAAGGAGGGCCTAGGGAAGCGCGGGGGGGTCTTCGTGACCTAATTAAGGCTGGGTAGTGATCAGACAGCATGCGCGCGATGAGGGCGCAGACTGCATAGCGGGCGCGAGCGGCCTCAATGGCCACATAGCCTCACCTTCCAGCCGCCAAGTAGTTGATTCAAGGGTTACCAGAATTTTCTTCTGCCTGTAATATCTTGTCTTCTTTATATGGATTTGTCAGAATAGTATTTAGGACTTCATCGTTGTATGAGTGCGATAAACGATGAGCACTGGACATTACACGTGAGCCGATGCTTGACTCCACATGTGTGCTTCAGTCGGTTGTCACGGTATGCCCATTTCGATTTATATAATATGCTCCAGATATAAACATTCTGTTGTATTTAGTGATGTCGACTGCGTCGCTGCACGAGCCGAATACGAGTTCTTCCGTTCTGGTGCAAATGGCTATTTTTTGCAAGTGTCGAACGTTTCTATAACAACATCAGATGCGAACTGTAAAGCACCTGTTCCTCCTCTCGTTTCTGGAAATCACTACTTTGCTCCATAAGGAAAGAAGTCTCTGAATTAGAGAATTTAGGTGAAGATTGCTAGAGTAATAAATTATGAGCTGTCGATATTGATAGTTTGAGCGAATCACCGAGCTCGTTTTATTACTGTAGGAATACGGTAGGAACTTTCAGCATATGGAACCATCGTGAAATATGCCGCCTGACAAAATTTTTAAAATCTGAAAAATCGTGTACTAGGGTTTTCGCGCACGCTGATTCCACTACACAACTTTTTACGGGTGTTTTCAGCTTTTTTGACGGTGTAACCACATTTCTGAAAAATGCTGGAAATTCAATTATTACGGTTCACCTGGGGTAACTTAGGAAAGAGGCACCACAGTAAAGTGTAAATTTCATATTCGAAAAGAGCGGCTTCCATTACCATAGTGTAAGAGTTTCCGGCTTGTTTGGTTATGTTCCGAGGCAGATTATGGCCTCCAAAGACCTAAAATCCTTGTCGAAGTTCCTACCGTAATCCTACAGTAATAAAAAGAGCCCGGTGATTCGCTCTATACTGCAAATCTAAGTTGAACCTCGCTCTACAAAATGGTGCCTAAAGCTTCTCAAAAGACTTCGTTAGAAGAGAGTTATTCACAATCAAACAGTAGGCACATTTTTTACGGACACCCTGTATATCTCAAACCCTAAATTAATCAAATTATGCTGTACTTTTACAATCCACAATCTGGCAGGTTGTGTCAGGCTTGAAATAACATATCTTATCGCCATGGTTGTGCACCTTGCACCTGGTTCTCCAAGTTCTGCGAAACATTCAAATGATTAGTGTTCGATGACGAAAAGTAGCCTATGACTCTCGCCCGGCCCTGTAGTGTATGTGTGCCAAGTTTGGTCCAAATCGGTCCAAAAATAAAAAGTTCTATTCCGCACATACGTGCACATATACATACAAACACACATTCAGCTTTATATATAAGATAGTTTGTGATACAGGAAATCCGTTATTAGAGTTATTAGAGTTTGCCGAAACTGATAATGATATCGATATTTACTGCACATAAGTGCGCCATTTCAATGGTGATGCCAATCAGTGTATTCGATGAAAAAGCACACCAGAAAAAGCAAGTTTTGCAGAGGTTCGCCTCAAACTTATATTTAACAGCAACGTTGCCGATCGACTCAGCACGACGCCGCAATATGCCGAATTTCGCGCGATGTCGCGAGTGTCGCAAGTGTCGCGCAATGTCGCGAATACCGCTGACTGGCGCTACATTTCCAAAATTATCGCTCGTTCTGCGAGCGGTATACCGACAATGAAAGTATTAGCAGAAAAAAATTCCGGCTGCAACAATCTGAGACAATCTTAAGTTAAAATTTTCAATTGCCTACAGTCGAATCATTTTGTATGATGACACTCATGATCATACGAAATGATGCGACTGTAGGCATTCGAAAATGCATACACTGTCCACCTTTGACGTGCCCAACCTGGATTCTTGGCGCAGACAACACTTCAGGTAGATTTTTTCAATGTGTTCCTGGTGTTTTCTTTCCCTTTTGGATGCTAATCACCACAAAGTGAGATAAGCGATAATAACCCGTCAGTCTCTTGCGTTTTTGCGATTGCAGTTCCAGGATGAGGACGCCAAAGACGGATGGTGTGTGCAATGCACCATGACCATATGAAATGATTCGATTGTATCGTCGATTCGTTGGCCGTAGGGACTGGTCAAACGCTAGGGACCACGCGCGGCGCGGTTAAAATGTTGCGAGAGCACGATTTTAACAATGGCAACTTTGTATCGGAGCAAGTGTTTTACCTCGCGGCGCGTGCTCCGCGGTTATGTCCAGTCCGTACAGTCAACGAATGGACGATACTTGATGAGTTTTTCTACTCAATATGGAAACAGTTGCTGCATTTCCTGCTGATGCAGTGTGAGAAATTTGTGAGAAAAGAGAAGGAGATAGTTTAGAGATCGCAGAGCAGTAGTAAAGGTATTGTCGTGGACTGTGAATTACCTGAATATCTATAAAGCTATCTAGCTGCTACTACTCATATTCTAAAACAGCAAAGAACACTAGCAGCGTAAACTTTACTATCAATGATAGAGCTCATTGCGGCGAGTGAGAAACAAAGTAGTCGACAGGATTTTCACACCTATGGTGGGAGTGTGATGATTGGTCACATCTTAATTTTTCAAAGAAGTCTCACTTGTACCACTTTGGCGGGAACGTGTACTTATTTCCCCCCACGTAAAAAGGGATGGCATTTGCTGCAGCAGCTAGCACAACCTGAAGATGTCAATCAAATCATAGTCACTGATATTTCTGTAAAACAAATTTACCAGAACAAAAAGTCTCCAAGCTAGCATTGTTTCTCAAAGCACTTTGTGGTAATCTGAAAACAGACACTCTAATAACAGCATCAGAAAGAAGTGAAAAGATAAATGCCAGCGTGCTGAGCCGTTACAATGGCTATATACGCGAGCAACCATTTTGGCTAATTAAAGAAATGTCAAGGCTCTTAAGGGCACATGGTCTTGCTGTAATGAATTGAATTTTGAATTCAAATATTCCATTAGAACATGCTCTTCCTATTTGAAAGCTAGTAGAATCTCTACTTTATTTTTATTAAGTCGTCCAAAGATGAATTATCGTATGTCCATTAATGCAGTCAATGCAGTGCATTGGCTGCATTAATGCATTGATGCAGTTAATGCATCAATGCAGAAATGCAGTCTTTTAGTATGGGCTATATATTGCTCGCTTAGGATGCGAATGCTAAAAAATACTTTGCATTTTTTCATAACGCTTGAATGCAATTATTGCATTTTTTATAACTACCTTAATTTCATGCGTACAAGGAGCACTTTTTTGATTTTTCAAGCGAGACGGTCAGCCGGTTCGCTGTATCTTGGAAAACGATCTTTATACCACATGATTCTCTCAAGCAATACGCAGCACGGTACAGGGTCCTCTAGTCATCGCGAAGTCAATTTGAAGATTTTTGGAAATTTTTAGAACTATTAATTAGATTCCAAAGAAGATGGTAAAGATTTTTAGGGCGTTGCTTCAGCCATTTCCACATCGCCTTCGAAATTTCGCGGTCATGTGTTCAAAGAATTCAAAGGGCATTTCATGAATTCGAAGTGCATGTTTAACGCCACACACCCTCTGCTAACAATGAGAAAATTTCCCCCCCCCCCCCTCCCCCGCTCCGAAGAGAAATTCTGGATGAACCACTGCCACATAACGCTTCGCAATAGTCAGCCAAGCGGGATATTTTCCCGAACACTGCAGCAGTTTGCGAGTTTTTGTAAAAAAACATTAAATTCCCGAATAGGATGTATTAAGATAGGCGGCATGCACCAGCACTACAAGAGAATATTTAAGAAAGATGAGATTAAGAGGACGTTATTGTTGACATCTAAGTCATGACCGGTGTGAATGATTCAATCACTTACAAAACTTGACAGAGAATTTTCCGTAATAATGCATGCTCAAGTTCAACTTTTAGGTGGACCTATTTAGAAGGCAACTGTCAGATAGAAGTGGCCAGTCCAAACGAACTGCATACCATTAGATGCTGCATGACAAGCTGACTTTGGGTTTGTTTTCCACATCTGCATAGCGCCCATGTAAGCAAAGCTATGAGCCGTTAAAAGCCATTATTTTTCTAAAGGAATCGTGCCTAGAAAGCGTAAATTAGGCAGTATAGAGGGGCGTTTGTCAAGAGGCGCGATTTTTCTGCCAGACGGACACCAAACAGCACATAGTGTTTTGTAACACTATAAAAGTATTAGGTTGTTACATAAGTCTTGTTACACTTAACTTCTAACGGCGATAAGTCATAAACCTCATAGTCTTTGCAGGACTCCAAGGTACCATTCGATAGAGCCAAGCAAGCTCTACAAGATGGTCTGCAAAATTTCGCACCAGCTCCGACCCACCGTAAGTTTGCACCCAAAATCTGAGTCGTACTGAAATTCAAAAAATCGCGAAAAATTCATATCTTTCTTCAGAAAAATCCTACAAATCTCCAACTTGCTCACAAAAATTGCCCACTATATCAAACACTTGTATGTACCGTTGCTGTATTTTTTCCTTATCTGGAAATCGAAAAAAAAAGAATTTTTTATTTTTTACAAAAACGAAGCTATGCTGTTTCTATTTACGTAGCTGTATACTACAAGCCTTTAGAAATATAACCGTAAATTTTCAGCCCTCTAGAAACCTTAGTTTTCGAAAATTATTCAATTTGGCATTGAACACCCGAGTGACAAAAGCTAAATTTGGTATTTCTCGAAGACTAGAGCTTCTGGGAAGCTGAAAACTCATGGTTATAATTATAAGGGCTTGTAGTATACAGCTACATGAATAGAAACAGCATGGCTTCCTTTTTGTAAAAACTAAAAAAAATTCTTTTTCTCGATTTCTAGATAAGGAAAAAATACAGCAACGGTACATATAAGTGTCTGATATAGTGGGCAATTTTTGTGAACAAGTTGGAGATTTGTAGGATTTTTCTGAAGAAAGATATGAATTTTTCGCGATTTTTTGAATTTCAGTACGACTCAGATTTTGGGTGCAAACTTACGGTGGGTCGGAGCTGGTGCGAACTTTTGCAGACCATCTTGTAGAGCTTGCTTTGCTCTATCGAATGGTACCTTGGAGTCCTGCAAAGACTATGAGGTGTATGACTTATTGCCGTTAGAAGTTAAGTGTAACAAGACTTATGTAACAACCTAATATTTGAAGTTTAGAAAGAGATATAGTAGACAGTTGCACGGGTTGCTCAATCTTAATAACTTGGAATTAATCAAACATCACCTTTAAAGTTCGAAATACCCTTAAAAATGCAGTTAGGAAGAAATTCGTGAATATTTTGGGCCGTTTTCCAGCAAAAGCCATCAAAGTTTAAGTGGTAACCTCAGGCGGATAGTAAGCTAATACACTATATCCGCTACTTTTTGGACACTAGCATGGCATTAAACTGAGGTTTTGTTTTTATGACAGCCGGAGAAATCGAGCCTCTTGACCGTCTCCCAGAATAGAATCATCTTCGGCTTACTGCTGGGCCAAAACATGCAGTTACATTATATTCTTGAAGCAAAGGTGAGCTGAAAGTGCGACAATGTGCTCGATTCCACAGTTTTTGTGTACAATTTTTTCGCAGTAAAAA